TGGTTGAACAATGAAGGAGACAACCACGTCGGATTCCTCTAACCGAGGCCGTTTGTCAGCAGGGTTATCCTCTAAGCCGGCCTCTCCCTCGACGGAACGTTTTTCTCCCCGCTCTTTTGAAGCCAGTCGTTCTTCCTTAACCTGCTGTTCAGCTCCCTCCGTCCCGGCCACAACAACTTGAGCCGTTTCTTCTCTAGTAACCGGTTGTATAGGTTCAACCGGGGCAGGCTCAGAACGAGCAGCCTCGGCTTTCTTTTGGGCGACCATTCTCTCGGCATTTCTCTTCCTCGTTATCTGCGTGAGATTTTCTCCAGCCATGCCTTTAGAAAAATCGCCGCGTAGATCTCCCAAGTTTGTAAAAATGTCTCCGAAGGAAAACCCCGCCCGACCCGAAGTGGATGGTGAGTCAGGTTGGTTAAGACTGGCTGCCTCAAACGCCGAGTTTAGAGCCTTGTCGACCTTTTTAGCCTCCGCAGCAAACTCTCTCGTTTGTTCGAAAACTACCTCGACCACCGTCTCTGCGTCTTGGTCCGAATCAGAAGCTTCGAAACCAATTTGTCTGTGGGTCTTGAAGCTGGGGAAGATAAGAGCCATAAGGTGGTGTTCGTCGGATGGGATCAAGATGTCGTCCGCAGCTGAGAACGTGGTATAAGTAGACTCGTACCGCAGAAGTATATGGGGCGGCTCTCCTTTGCTTTTGTACGTTTGGACGGCCAAAATACTTGAGTGCAGTCTTAATCTCCGCAAGGACTGCGTCGTCAGTCGAAGTCTGAATCTTCTTCAACTTACTGCCTGCAAAAACGAAGGATTAGACTTGAAGAGAAAGCCGAGTAAAAGAAAGATCAACAAACATAAGGAGTTACTCGGCCACCTGGTTCACCCCTCTTTTTGGGAACGGGGTCTAGGTGATCTTCGCCCTCGCCGAAAGTGCCCGAACCGTTCCACGAATCGATTCAGCAATACGAGATTCATAAGTAACGTATTATTCGACGTTTAATGTTCATGAACCAGCTGGGGCAAAGGCAGATTCATCAATCCAGTCGGCTTGAGTGCCCGAGCCATTCCACGAATCGATTTAGCAATATGAGATTCATAAGTAACGTATTATTCGGCGTTTAATGTTTGTGAACCAGTTGGGGCAAGGGTAGATTCATCAATCCAGTCGCCTTGAGTGCTTCACGAATACACTCGTCAATATTGTACTATTCGGCATCTCAAATCCATGAAGCAGCTGGGGCAAGGGCAGATTCATCAATCTATTCGGTTTGAGTGCTGCAGCCGCTTCATGAGTCGATTTACTAGTCCTACTCGGCACAAAGAGTCGATTTACTCTGGATAAATTGAGATTAAACTAATATAATGGCCAAGATTACACTGTTATCCAAAATAGTAGAAGGCAAAACCTTTCATTAATATCAAAAATTGCGTACAAGTAACAGTGAAACGGGAAGGAAATTTTCATTAATAAATTGAGCTCAGATAGTAACTAATTTATACATGAAAATTACCTTGAATCCACTAAACAAAAACGTACACTGAAATTAAAGATACTTGATAAAACTAGAATGTCTCCCAGATCAATCCTCGGGATCAGACTCAAGTGGCTCAACGCCCACTTGCTCGTATGGAATTGGCAAGGCCAATGCAACTCCAGTGGCAGCAATGGCTTTGAGCCACCCATGTTTGAATTCTCGAATCTCGAATTTGGGGACTTCATCTACGTATTCCTTCAAGGCGGCGCTCTTCCTAGCTTCTAGCGTTGTAGAAGCTATAGATTCGGCTTTTTCCTTGGCCGCATTCAATTCTTCTAACTTGGCCTCTGCCTTGGAAAGCGCCTCCTGGGCTAACTTGAGCGACTCCTCGCTCGTGTTCGCCCTATCCTCGGCTTCGGATCTGAGCTGGTCAGCAGTCCGAGCACTCTCATTTTCAGCTTCCGCTCGAGCACTTTCCATTGCGGCCCTCATCGCCTCGAACTCAGCCCTGCTTCTTTTACCTTTAAGCCGGCCTTTCCCTCGACGAAACGTTTTTCGCCCCGCTGTTCTGAAACCAGCCGTTCTTTCATAACCTGCTGTTCAGCCTCCTCCGTCTCAGCCACAACAACTTGCGCCGTTTCTTCTCCAGTAACCGGTTGTAAGGACTCAACCAGGGCAGGCTCAGAACGAGCGGCCTCGGCTTTCTTTCGAGTGGCTATTCGCTCGGCATTTCTTTTTCTCGCCATCTATGTGAGATTCTCCCTAGTCATGCCTTCTGAAAAAGTACCAGGAAGGTCTCCCAAGTTTGTAAAAATATCTCCGAAGGAAAACTCCGCCCGACCCGAAGTGGATAGTGAGTTAAGCTGGTTAAGACCGACTGCCTCAAATGCTGATTTCAGAGCTTCGTCGACCCCTTCGGCCTCATCGGCGAACTCGCTCGATAATTCGGCATCTACCTCGACAACCGGCTCTAAGCTTTGCTCTGAATCAGAAGTTTCGAGACCAATTTGCCTAAGGATCTTGAAACTGGGGAAGACAAGAGCCGTAAGGTGTTGTTCGCCGGTTGGGATCGGGATGTCGTCTGCGGTCGAGAACGTAGTATAGGTAGGCTCGTACCGCAGGAGAATATGAGCAGCCCTTCCTTGCTTCTGTACGTTTGGATGGCCAAAGTACTTTAGTGCAGTTTTAATTTCCGCAAGGACTGCGTCGTCAGTCGAAATCAAAATCCTCTTCAACTTATTGTCTGCAAGAACAAAGGGTAAGGTTTGGAGAAAGAGCCGCATAAAAGAAAGATCAACAAACAAGGAGTTACACGACAACCTGGTTCACCCCTCCGTCTGGGAATAGGGTCTAGGCGATCTTCGCCTTCGCCGAACTCCCAGTTGTCTCGGACATTGACCATTACATCGTCAACTCGTTTGCCAGAGCTGGCAAGCATCGTTACCAAATGATGGTCGGTGTCCTTGGCCCTGAGAAAGTAGCGCCCGAGCCGACCGGAGGATTTGGCTAAAGCATAGCAGTGTTGAATCGCCAGAATGCCAAGGTTAATCCTAAGACGCCAATTCAACTCTACGATTCCCATTACGATTCGAAAAAATTCACATTGGGTTGCGAAGGAATCAGATTCCAATAGCGGAGGACGGCCCTGAGAAATGGGTGTAGGGGAAAGCAAACTCCGCCCTCCGCAATAGACAGGAGAGGGAAAATGATTATATTTTGGTCATCCCTCTCCATATCAAGGGTATTGTCCGTTACCAGAGAAAGATGGACATCCTCGGGAATAGAAAAATGTCTTCGAAACCCAGAAATTCGACCCTCGGAAAGAAGGTCTTTCAAATGCTTAGCCATTCTAATAAGGACTCAATAATACTCTAAATCAAAAATAAAAGCGGAAAATAGGACTGCAGGGAGAAGAGAAGAAAACTTACGAAAGGCAAAGGAGACAAGGAGAGAACGGATAGGAGTTGCAAAAATTGCGTCGAAGAAGAGATATCGACTGGCAGTCCAGGAGGTTCAAATATTCGAAAAAGTATATTTTCGAAGGGACTTGAGTTTCAAATCGTAATAAATGCGAGAGAAGCACGAATGGGGCGGGAAAGCGTTACAGTAACCAAAAAACACGTACGCATTCTGACACGTATCGGGAAGAGGATTAACCGTCGAATTCTTGACTTCTAGCCAAACACGCCGACTAACTGATGCTAGCGAGGTGTTTGGGGGGCAATTGTGGGAGCCGGATTTTGGAGTAATCAGAAGCGTACTCTAGAAGACAAACTTTACACGGCTCTACCCTGCACGATAAGGATGCCGAATATAATAGATAGGCCGAATAGATACTGAGCTATGGAGCCGACTAAAAAAGATGATAATGAGTGACAAGTGGGCCTGGCCACGAGGTCCTGGAAACAAGTATAAATAAAGGAACAACAGACTAAGAAAGGCAGGTGAGAATTATTGTGCTTAACTTAGAATACAAGCATTCTTGAGTGCGGATTCTGACTTGTCCGTCAGAGTACTAATTCCGGCACCCTCGACCTGAGTGTTTATTCCTTTTTAGGTAACCAGAAGAGAATCACGAACGTTCTCCAGGATCAGAAGAGTATTTCCAAACCGTTTCTTCACAAATGTATTTTTTTAAATTTTTTTTCACAAATGTTATACTTTTTAAATATATTTATGTTAGGTATGTCTAAAAATTTTTATAAAAAATTATTTAAAATATTAAAAAAATTCATTGAAAATATTAAAATATAAAAAATAAAAAATAAAATTTATTAAAATTATTTTTTAAAAATCAGAACCAAACAAGCTGAATACTATTGATTTTGAATTCTAGAAAACACTTTTCAAGATATAATTTTTTTTTTTCAATAAATTTTTTAAAATTAAGGATGAATTACACTGATCCAGGGTCTGATAAATGTTATAGTTACAGATAGACAAGACAACAATACCATCACTTATTTATTTATTTATTTATCTTGTGTGAAAAAGAGATTAATTTAGGTGAAAGCAAAACAACTGCTAATCCATCACTGCTGAAAAAAATAAATAAATAAAAAATAATAATAATCAACATATAATAAGACTTCAGATCAAGCGCAGTACAATTGCATTCACCATGCTTGCTTGTGTTTTTTCAAAAACACTTTTTAAAAAATTTTATTTTCTTATTTTTTGTATTTTTTTATTTTTACTGAATTTTTTTAATATTTTAAACAATTTTTTTTACTTTTTAAACATACCTAACATAAATATACCTAAAAAGTAAAAAATTATGAAAAAAACCTTTTAAAAATTCACTAAATACCAAACATAAAAAAAATATGAAAATTCAGTACATTTTTTATATTTTTATGTATTTATTAAATTTTTAAAATATTTTTTCACAAATTTTTTACATTTTAGATATATCCAAATAAGGTGCATCTAAAAAAATAAAAAAAATATTTAAAATTTTAAAAATATTCACTAAAAAGAAAAAAACACAAAAATCAAAAAATTAAATTTTTAAAAAACTTAATTAAAAAAACTCAAACTAAACACACTGATTGCATTTCTATAACACGTATACTGATCGTCATAAAATTGAAAATACACTTTCTGTGAAACCCTTTATCGTCCCGGTTTGCACTCTCTTTATTGTTGAAAGAAAGGAAACTGTACATGGAAAACCCTTCATAATTTCCGAGATACTCGAATGTCACAAAAGAGAGAGAAACAGAAACAAGGAGAGAATAGGACAAAAACCCTTAAATGTATTTTTAACTACTGTCATTAGCAGCAATGCTCTCGTAAAAGAGTATGTACCCGTGATCTGTGTTACTTGAATACTCCTGAGCAGATCCGAAGAAAGTTTGAACGGCAGACTCATCAATCATCTCTACATTCTCGTCATCAAAGAACAACCAGTGGTCATGGCTTTTCACAAGGCTAACATAGTGCCCGTGGTTTGGCCCAGTCCCAATATGAACGACAACAGCAAATAAGGAGTATTCAGAATCGGCATCTTCCATGGTGTTGCTCAGTTTCAGCTCCAGAGGGAACACAACACGGTAAGACAACTTCTTGTTCCGACCAAGCTGTTCCACGTACTTGAAACGCTTCAGATGAATAACCAGGACCTGAGGTGGTTTCTTTATTTTCATCCTCTTCTGGGCTTCTTGTAAACTGCTTTTGAGGAACAAACAATTAATTCTTCATTTTTTTTTTTTTTTTTGTATAATTAATTCTTTACCCCACTAAAAAGCAAGGAATGAGCATATTCTACCTGCAGCACTTGTCGCAGAAGAATTTGTCCTCAGCATTCAGAGTTTCAGTGGAACTGAAATTTTTAAGGCAGCTCGTTACTGAACTATTCTGTTCAATATCAAGGCTCAAATCTAAGAATGTCTCATCCCTTGCTGTCACCGTCTCACACCGTAAGCACCTTGTTTCATTGGTAAGAATACCCTGCATTTGTAGGCATCAGCAGCTAAGAACTCATCCAAGAACACAAGTTGAAGTCTAATGACTTAATTGTTATATTTAGAAGGTTAGGGACCAAAGTGCAATCCAAATGAAAGTTGGCATAATTTACATTTCACCCTAAACTTTTTTTAAATTCACTAAATATTTAATTATAGTCGTGTCTGCATTCTACTTCTTTGAAAATCATTCCATATTAATGTCATCGCCATGTTCCATGCTTCTTAGATATACTAGGAGGTGTTCCAAAATCCACAATCAAGAAGGGCAACTAGATAACAAATAGTAGAAGCTCTAGTGCAAAACACAAATATAACAAAATGTTACTCATATCATATCAAAGGAAAAATAAACAAGATGTTTTATTCAAATAAATGTAAATGTCAAAACCACAATAAGCTCACCTGGAAATTTTTGTGAACCCAAGTAACTAATGGTGCTTTCTTAACACCATTCGCCTGAGGATTGTTTGGTCCATTTGCAATCTTTTCAGGTGGAGAAGTTTCAGGAATACTTTTTGCTGCATGGGACTCCTTCTCCAATATGTCAACAAGCTCATTTAACAAGAAGTTCAAAAATTCATGGGCATCCTACACTCACACAAACAAACAAAAAAAGAAAAAGAAAAAAAGAAAAAGCCGTTAATTGTCAGGATAATATAAATGGGATTGAAGAATGTAAGAAATATGTATATCCTCATTCCTTCAGTAATTTAAATAAGCAATATCTTCTATGGAGAGCCATGTAAAATATAGAGACATGAGGAACGGAAACATATGGAAATGGGAGTGTATGTTCCCTATTGAAGCGACCTTATTACACATTGCTCAAATATACCTAAACAGTACATATCTTCACAGGATAAATCTACAAGCCATAGGTATCATACACACACAAGCCATGGGAAGCATACATATAGCTGTGGAAACTGAACCATAGACCATCCATTTGATAGACCAGAATTGGTGTAAAGCAGGATTTCAGCACCACAAAGAAAGTTCACTAATAGTCATTACTGAAAATCTCTCCCCCAATTTTTTCCATTCCATTCACCTAGCTATGTCATATATTGGTCCATCAAACGAGAGACATTCAAAACAAAGTGAAGTCATCAATTACTCCATTGAGAAGCCTTGGTTTGTGTACCGAATCATGGAAAGGTTGATGCTAAGAAAAGATGAATTCAGAGCAGTGGGAACCCAAAGTGCTACTGAACGTTAGAAATTTGAACAGTTAATATTGCAATTGTAATACCAATTCAGTTTTTGAGCATGAGAGACATGATAATTTTAATTGACCAATTTAGAGGATTAAAGGGAAAATCCTGATATTTTTAAGATGGTAAATTAACTACTGCAGCAAAATAATGCATCCTTACAAATAAAATGTATGGTTTTAGACTTTTATTAAGAAATATATCCCCTTGCATGATATTTGTAGCTCACCCTGTCCGCGATTTTGATTATTATTCAATTTTGGAAACTGGTCTAAGACTCCCTTAAAATTGTATAAAAAAAATTACTTCAACCTCTAAAATACAATATTTATTAAAGAAAGTTTGATCACAAATGTTGTACAAACTAACTTGCAAAAGTTAATGGTTAAAAACCAAAATTGGAAAGGACAAGTTTATACGACATATAGGCCAGAGATAATCCTTTGCTAGCATAAAGATTATATTAAAGAGGAAAACCTCAGTTTATAATGTTCAAGAGTTTTATCTCGTGATTTCTCAAAGCTAACAGATACACTAACCAATGTTAAAATCATACCTGATGCATGTAGCCACGAAAAAGCTCATTTTGTTTCTTCAATCTCTGCACAAAGCGTTTTGGAGCAATTACACCTGTTTTCTTCTTCTGTGAACTTATCTGCACAAAAGATAATTGATCCAGCTGTTACAGTAAGTGAACAAACAACAACAAAGAATATCATTTTTATTTTTTCAGAACATTTACTCAAGTACGTCCCATGGATTTCCTTTTTAACCCCTTAAAACAATCTGCTTTCCCATCAATACTCCAGGGTCCAATCAAATCCAAACAGCTGAAAATAATCATTTTGTCTTTCAAGAAGTTAAGTTCTGCATCTTGCATGATATGAGATGTCATGCCATGCCAGATTCCATTAAAAGATTCAACACCTAAGTTTACACGTGAGTTTGGCCATAGAAGCTTACACTGTATGAAGTCAATCCAAAATCCTGGTTGCTACAGTTTAGAAGCAGGTCTTTATTGCAATAATGTAAGAGACTTATGCGCAGTCTTGCTCATACAGTAAAAGAAAATTGTCAAGAAAAAATAAAAGAAGCAGGTTACAATTGATGCAATCTATGGAAATCCCCAATGTGATTCTTCATAATAAAGATACATGCATGACAATAAGTTTTTGCTTCTTTTACTACCATAATCTGCATCTTGGCACAACCCATCTCTTCTGTTCCTCCAATATTTAGGTTTCAAAGAATAACCTCTGACTTCTTTCCACAATAACAGCATGATGCCAAGCAAACTTTAGTCAGGGCATAACAATTTCGGTAGGAATAAAATAGCAAAAATAGTTTTGCCATCTGAAAGAAAAGTAAATTCCAGAGTATAACTTACAAGCAAAAACAATATTATCCGCATGAACCCTTCAATGCAGAAAGAGTAGACACTAGACACTATAACTTAAAGCATTCCTTGAGAATTAGCTAAAACAAGAGGGAAAACAAATTACTAGGAGTTTTCAAGTAATTGGGCAGCATAATTATCTTGAGTAAAATAGTGACATACATTAAAAATAAAACCATTTACAGCAAGTAATTTGGAAACAGCAAACTAAATAAAACCATTTATATTGTAAAACTTAAAAAGATGAATCATGAATCAGGTAATGGTGCATCACTGTTTCAAATGAACAAAGGACCACATTTTCAACTGGATTTGATACCTGTGTAAATAAGTCTGCCAAACAAGTAAGAAGATTCTCCTCTGCATCCCCTGGGTTTTTATTATTTGCATAATACTCTAGTAACTGTTCACGGAATGGAACACAGAAGTAAAGTGCCTGCAAAATAAAATGGAGAACATATTAGGCAATATTCTAAAGGAGAAATCCTGCTTGATAACAAAACCTATGTCCTCACTAGAGCTCTTCTGCATTCCTAATATTGTAGCCCTAACATCTAAACCTGAGAGATCAATTTATGCAACTCAAGACCGACAAAACTATGCAAACCTACACAAAATAAGTTCACACTAAAAATAGGTATCAGGCAATTTTAATGTGAGTTTCTCACTCGCTCCAAATGGTTAGTTTTATTATAAGGAAAGGCAATAAAGAAAACAGCGGATAAAATCTCCTCCACTAAATACACCAAAAACTCAATGTATGAGACTGAATTATGAGCAACCAAAAATTCTTACTAAATAAACCCCCACCTAGAAAACCTTCATTTTCCAAAATCATCAACAAATTACCAGCTCTCAAACTAAAGGAAGGTGGCAACCAAATTAACTGTTTTGAATTACTGTTAAGAACGAAAAATTACTGGAAAAGACAGATATTTTTTACATTATTATGTATGTCAGCAATAGTTGGAAAGCCTACAAACAAGAACAGAAAGGACATATATTCCTAATTCCTAGCTCAGGCTTCCCTTCCATGTAGGAGCACGCCAATCCACATAATAAGTTCTTTTCGACTGGCATTAAACTCATTATCTAAGAGATTGGAAAATTTTAAGACGCATTTCCTAGTAGGTATTTAATAATGCAAGGCAAGACTTCTTTTCTCAATGGAAGTAATGAATGTGAGAGAGCTTGGCTGTGGCAGTTGACACCTCATCAAATAGTGAACACAAAAAATATACTTGTGCATCTGTGTATGCACTGGCGGAACCACTATAGGCCAAGGAGGGTCACGTGCCCCTCCTCAACTTTTCAAAATTGTAGTCTTAAGATTTTGAAATTTTTTTCAATTTTTCCCTTCAAAAATTATATATATATTCCCTAAATTTTTTTCCACTCGTCTTCCAAAACACACGACACATCATTGACTAAATAGGGATATAGGCTGACTCCTTATTTGCTTCACAAATAAATTTAAAAAATCATTTCCTTTTTATATTGTGTATTTTGTTGGCATTTTTTATTATTTAATCTTCATCTCTTATTATTTAAGAGTTCTATAGATTTGAATGGTAGGATGATTTTATTATAGTAATATGTATGATAATGTAAATTTGTAACGGTACTGAAATATTGATAATTGGTTTTTCTTTTTTCTTTTTCTTTTTCTCTTTTCTTTATCAAATCAAACCAAACTAAATTGTGTTTCAAATCCATCCAACTCAATAATTTGAGTGAGTGAATACAAGCAATTACCTGTTTGAAGCAGATATAAAAATGGACAAAAATGAAATCAAAGCACCAGTAACAAATATATATGGAGTTCTAATCATCAAATCATCAAAAGCTAAAAAACCCACTATTCAGAAGCATGAAATTCGAAACAAAGAACCTTGAAACATCCGAAATTAGCAGAAAATCACAAATTAAATCCCAAAAAACTAAATAAATAAATACTTGAATCGAACCTGCAAGACGCTGTTGCAGTAACAGGTGTTGCCAAAATTCTCGAGGCCAAAGTAGCGCTCGCCTTCGGGAAATTGGTCTCCGAGAGCTTTCTCGAGCTTCGAACCCGAAGCACCCATGAGACCATCGACCAAATTCCAAAATTTCTCTATTTTTACCCTCTTTCTCTCTCCCTCTCCACCTCTTCTACTTCTTCAGCTTCATCAAAGCTTCAAATTCCAATAGATATTTTCCTACATCAAGGTCTCCCCAAACTGTATTGAGAGAGAGAAAGAGAGAGAGAGAGAGAGAATTAGCTAGGTTTGTCTTCCCTGTATTGACGTGTTTTGTTAAGAGGAAAAAAACTTTACGCTATTGATCATTTTTTTTTCCTCTTTTGTTTTTTTCTACACAGGTGTCTCTTGACTCCTCCATCTGGTTTTGTATTTATGGGAATGGGAGCTTCTTTTTAAGATTTGTGTAAATTACAAGTGAAAAATAAAAAATTCTTTAACAAAAATAAAATTTGAATTTCGACTTATTAATTTAAATTTAAATTTAAATTTTTTGATTTTCTTTTTTATTTAAATTATTTATCTATTTTTGTTAAATAAATCAACAAAAAAAAAAGTAGAGTATCTTAAACATAAAACTCAATTATCTAAAATTTCATTTACCTATTTTTATTAAGTAAAATTGATCACAAAAAAAATATTTTGATAATTAAATTTAGTAAAAAATAATATTTTAAATATTTTATGTACATTTATATTGAGTTTAATATTTACAATATTATTCTCTTTTCTTTTATCAATTTTACTTAATGAGGATAAATAAATAGTTAAAATTGAAAAAAAAAATCAAAATATTAAAATTTAGATTAACAAAATTAAAAACTCATATATTATATTCAAATTTATTTATTTTATTATAATAGTCAAACTCTGTAACAAAAAAATTATAATTTCTCCTAATTTTTTTTTATCCCCATACACTCTTTAATATTTCAACTTGATCCCATCTTTTAACTGTAATGATCCATAATTTTTCCCTCTGCTCGAGCGGGGAGTTGACATTCAGTGGACTTGAGGGGCTCCCGGCATTTTTACAGTTTGTCCGAAATTCTGAGAGTTGTGAATTCTCGCTCGAGCGTAGGAGTGATCGCTCGAGTGGACGGCTTTGATGGTCTGCGCACTCGAGTGTGGAAAGTAAGATTGCCCTTGACTTTTTTTTATTAGTGTATTTGGAACCTCCTTATTTTATTTTGGGGTATTGATTGAGGTGGTAACATGACGGTAAAGTAAGATTGGACCAAAAACTTTAATTCGAATAATTTGCCTATGATCAGCCGTCGCTCTTTTGCCCTTTTCTTTTTCCATACTTTGAATTTGGGTGTGAGGCTAAAACCATTGGAAAGCTTGTTTCCGAGGCTTTAATTTGGACATAAGAATGACCTAAAACGAAGTCCAGATGAGAGAGTTATACATGTTTGAAGTTTTAGAATCTGTGTTGGAAGCAGGTACGCTCGAGTGGACTGTGCAAATTCAGCAACTTAAAAAGTGAATTTCTAGATCATTCTTTACATTTTCTTTTTCCCTCCCTTCCTCTCACCCTAGGCCTAAAATCCTTGATCTCTTGACCCAAATATCTTCCATTCCTCAAAGTTTTGGCCAAGATCTCCTACCAAAAAGTGAAGAACACATGAAGATCTCATTTTCCTACCGATTGAAGTTTGGATTTGTGAAGGATTTTTCTCAAAGCTTTGCTCTTTTGCTCGATTCTTGAGATAAGAGTCCTAGTTCTTCTTCAATGCTTGCGTTAATAAATAGGTTTGTGGTATTTTGGTTATATACATACAAAATCTACATTTTTGAGCATGTAGTGTTAAATCATGAAATTTGGGGGTTTAGGGTTTGAAGTGTTGGGGTTTAATTGTTGGGGTAAGATTGTGGATTATGAATCTTAGGTGTATAATCAATGGAAAATTTGGAATAAAAAGTGGTGGTGTGAGAAGTTTTAATTTTTCTTGAAAACCTTAAGTTGATTCATGATGATAATTAATGATTTTGCCCAAATTGAAAGTAGAATCACGAAATTGAGGTATTGAATTATATATATACAAGTTTAATTGAAATTTGAAAGTGTTTGAAAATTATGTTAAAAATTAGCGATTGAACCTTTAAATACTTGAATCGAACCTGCAAGACGCTGTTGCAGTAACAGGTGTTGCCAAAATTCTCGAGGCCAAAGTAGCGCTCGCCTTCGGGAAATTGGTCTCCGAGAGCTTTCTCGAGCTTCGAACCCGAAGCACCCATGAGACCATCGACCAAATTCCAAAATTTCTCTATTTTTACCCTCTTTCTCTCTCCCTCTCCACCTCTTCTACTTCTTCAGCTTCATCAAAGCTTCAAATTCCAATAGATATTTTCCTACATCAAGGTCTCCCCAAACTGTATTGAGAGAGAGAAAGAGAGAGAGAGAGAGAGAATTAGCTAGGTTTGTCTTCCCTGTATTGACGTGTTTTGTTAAGAGGAAAAAAACTTTACGCTATTGATCATTTTTTTTTCCTCTTTTGTTTTTTTCTACACAGGTGTCTCTTGACTCCTCCATCTGGTTTTGTATTTATGGGAATGGGAGCTTCTTTTTAAGATTTGTGTCATGAATCAGGTAATGGTGCATCACTGTTTCAAATGAACAAAGGACCACATTTTCTACTGGATTTGATACCTGTGTAAATAAGTCTGCCAAACAAGTAAGAAGATTCTCCTCTGCATCCCCTGGATTTTTATTATTTGCATAATACTCTAGTAACTGTTCACGGAATGGAACACAGAAGTAAAGTGCCTGCAAAATAAAATGGAGAACATATTAGGCAATATTCTAAAGGAGAAATCCTGCTTGATAACAAAACCTATGTCCTCACTAGAGCTCTTCTGCATTCCTAATATTGTAGCCCTAACATCTAAACCTGAGAGATCAATTTATGCAACTCAAGACCGACAAAACTATGCAAACCTACACAAAATAAGTTCACACTAAAAATAGGTATCAGGCAATTTTAATGTGAGTTTCTCACTCGCTCCAAATGGTTAGTTTTATTATAAGGAAAGGCAATAAAGAAAACAGCGGATAAAATCTCCTCCACTAAATACACCAAAAACTCAATGTATGAGACTGAATTATGAGCAACCAAAAATTCTTACTAAATAAACCCCCACCTAGAAAACCTTCATTTTCCAAAATCATCAACAAATTACCAGCTCTCAAACTAAAGGAAGGTGGCAACCAAATTAACTGTTTTGAATTACTGTTAAGAACGAAAAATTACTGGAAAAGACAGATATTTTTTACATTATTATGTATGTCAGCAATAGTTGGAAAGCCTACAAACAAGAACAGAAAGGACATATATTCCTAATTCCTAGCTCAGGCTTCCCTTCCATGTAGGAGCACGCCAATCCACATAATAAGTTCTTTTCGACTGGCATTAAACTCATTATCTAAGAGATTGGAAAATTTTAAGACGCATTTCCTAGTAGGTATTTAATAATGCAAGGCAAGACTTCTTTTCTCAATGGAAGTAATGAATGTGAGAGAGCTTGGCTGTGGCAGTTGACACCTCATCAAATAGTGAACACAAAAAATATACTTGTGCATCTGTGTATGCAGTGGCGGAACCACTATAGGCCAAGGAGGGTCACGTGCCCCTCCTCAACTTTTCAAAATTGTAGTCTTAAGATTTTGAAATTTTTTTCAATTTTTCCCTTCAAAAATTATATATATATTCCCTAAATTTTTTTCCACTCGTCTTCCAAAACACACGACACATCATTGACTAAATAGGGATATAGGCTGACTCCTTATTTGCTTCACAAATAAATTTAAAAAATCATTTCCTTTTTATATTGTGTATTTTGTTGGCATTTTTTATTATTTAATCTTCATCTCTTATTATTTAAGAGTTCTATAGATTTGAATGGTAGGATGATTTTATTATAGTAATATGTATGATAATGTAAATTTGTAACAGTACTGAAATATTGATAATTGGTTTTTCTTTTTTCTTTTTCTTTTTCTCTTTTCTTTATCAAATCAAACCAAACTAAATTGTGTTTCAAATCCGTCCAACTCAATAATTTGAGTGAGTGAATACAAGCAATTACCTGTTTGAAGCAGATATAAAAATGGACAAAAATGAAATCAAAGCACCAGTAACAAATATATATGGAGTTCTAATCATCAAATCATCAAAAGCTAACAAACCCACTATTCAGAAGCATGAAATTCGAAACAAAGAACCTTGAAACATCCAAAATTAGCAGAAAATCACAAATTAAATCCCAAAAAACTAAATAAATAAATACTTGAATCGAACCTGCAAGACGCTGTTGCAGTAACAGGTGTTGCCAAAATTCTCGAGGCCAAAGTAGCGCTCGCCTTCGGGAAATTGGTCTCCGAGAGCTTTCTCGAGCTTCGAACCCGAAGCACCCATGAGACCATCGACCAAATTCCAAAATTTCTCTATTTTTACCCTCTTTCTCTCTCCCTCTCCACCTCTTCTACTTCTTCAGCTTCATCAAAGCTTCAAATTCCAATAGATATTTTCCTACATCAAGGTCTCCCCAAACTGTATTGAGAGAGAGAAAGAGAGAGAGAGAGAGAGAATTAGCTAGGTTTGTCTTCCCTGTATTGACGTGTTTTGTTAAGAGGAAAAAAACTTTACGCTATTGATCATTTTTTTTTCCTCTTTTGTTTTTTTCTACACAGGTGTCTCTTGACTCCTCCATCTGGTTTTGTATTTATGGGAATGGGAGCTTCTTTTTAAGATTTGTGTAAATTACAAGTGAAAAATAAAAAATTCTTTAACAAAAATAAATTTCGAATTTCGACTTATTAATTTAAATTTAAATTTAATTTTTTTGATTTTCTTTTTTATTTAAATTATTTATCTATTTTTGTTAAATAAATCAACAAAAAAAAAAGTAGAGTATCTTAAACATAAAACTCAATTATCTAAAATTTCATTTACCTATTTTTATTAAGTAAAATTGATCACAAAAAAAATATTTTGATAATTAAATTTAGTAAAAAATAATATTTTAAATATTTTATGTACATTTATATTGAGTTTAATATTTACAATATTATTCTCTTTTCTTTTATCAATTTTACTTAATGAGGATAAATAAATAGTTAAAATTGAAAAAAAAAATCAAAATATTAAAATTTAGATTAACAAAATTAAAAACTCATATATTATATTCAAATTTATTTATTTTATTATAATAGTCAAACTCTGTATAAAAAAAATTATAATTTCTCCTAATTTTTTTTTATCCCCATACACTCTTTAA